CCTTCCCTTCCCTTCCCTTCCCTTCCCTTCCTTCTAAACCCTTTAGCTATAAGCTAGATTCTTTTACATCACACATAACTTCAGAATCCAATGGGAGCTGATATCCTTCCTGGTTTCCCTACTTGACAGGTAGCTTTTAAGCAAAGCAAAACAAAGCATATAGCAATGTATTCTACTTCAAAAAGAAAGCAACATTGTTCCTTTACTTAACACATCTGACTGTAACCAATTGTTATTCTTTTTCCAGCAAGCATGGTCTCAGCTAATTAAGAAATAAATCCTAGAGAGGAGTTTCTGTTGAACACAGTGGGATTTGCTTCAGAATAAAAATGTAGCAAGCTTGCACTCTTGACTACACCATATTCAATTTTGATTGTTACAGATGGCAGACATTTTCACCTGGCCCAATTATGTCCTGCCCCACTACAATTCTTCTGCAATTTTTTCTCTGGCATCTCCTTAACTTCCATCAGATAGAAAAGCTCAGTGAACACAAAAGCCTGCTCATGTTTGATCCTGAATAAGAAACTGCTCCATTGCCTTTTGATGGTGGCATTGCTTAACCAAGATTGCGTTTTGGGGTGAGTAAACTTTTCAATTGTACAATTCCAGTTTGTGCTTTAAAAATGAAAAGACAAGTGAGGGGAAACACATTTGTTGCTGATATTTTTCATTCCCTCATGCCAAACACTTCACATAATGCCATGGCAAATTGAGTTGGGGTTTTCTGCTAGTCTTTAATTTGCTATAGTGATATCCCATTTCCTGCAAACTGAGGGAATTTGTTCTCTGCTCTGTGCTCAAAACTCTTGATCTTGCTTTCTGAAGCTAAGGAATGAGCAGAAAGGTAACCTAAATGGAAGGGAGGCTTTTGCCTTGAACTGAGGAGGCAAGGGCAGGACTTCAGATTTGTGAGCAGAACATTACTCAACAATTGGACAGATGCCAGTGTTAAATGTTCATGACATGTTGTTCCACTGCCAGGTTCTGAAAAACATGGAGATGTAATAAAGTGAGGCAAGCCTTGCTGAATTAGCCCATAGGCCCATTTAGTAATATATTCCATGTTACACATCGGCCAACTCTATGCATTTGTGAAACTCACAAACCAGGAATAGAGGGCATTAGAACCATCCATCACCCTTCCCAGAAACCAGTATTTAAGATGTGCTACCTATTATTCAGGTAGAAGTAACAGTCATCAAAGTTGTGTGTGTGTACCTTCCTGATGACTGCCCTGCAGTTTTCTTGGCAAGATTTTTGGAAGTGGCTTGCCCTTGCCTGCTTCCTAGGGCTGAGAGAGAGGGACTGGCCCAAAGTCACCCAGCTGGCTTCATGCCTAAGGTGGGACTAAACTCCTGGTCTCTGGGGTTCTAGACTGGAGCCTTAACCACTATACCAAACTGGCTCCCATCAAAATTAGTAGCCACTAATAGATTGATCCTCCATGGATCTGCCCAGATTCCAAGCAAGTTGCCATTACTGCAACCATCTAAGCAAGTTGCCATTACTGCAACAGCATTCCATAGTTTAATTATACAATGTATGACAAAATATTTTTTATATTGCTCGTGAATCACTTTGCACAGAACTCCCATGGATGACCACAAGTTCTAATACTGTGTAAAAAGGAAAACTTTCTATCCATATTATCTGTGCTATGCAAGATTTTATATACTTCTATCATGCTTACCCTCTTTAATTCCAAGCTAAAAAGCCACACATTATTATCATTCTTTAAATCTCCACCAAGCCATGTAAAAGAGCAAAGGCATTCTGTTCACATAATCCAGTTTCATGCAGTGTTTAAATGTCAGAATAACATCTGTTAGTACATCTTGCAATTGCCTGCTTAGCCATGAACACTTTGGGGACTTCTCAGGAAAAAAAACCACAGTCAGCTACTCTTGAAAAAAATCCCTTTTTCACAATTCTTACCTGCTATGATCAGGAAAAGAAAGGATTTTGGTAAAAGAAATCAAACTATTTCATGGACATCTGAGTTTTATCATTTTTAAAAAATATGCTTTAAAAATCTATGTATTAAAATGGATGTTGATTGTTATTTTGTGAACTGTACTTTGATGCTATTGCTTTAATAAGTGTTTGATCCTACTCTTTAAATTAATTCTGTGTCTCTCCCCATCAGTGTGGGGTCCCCAGTGTAGTCTGTTCCAAAGACCCCACTGGAACTTCAGCAGTCCTCTTGGTTTCATTAAAGGAAGCTGGCACTGTACATATCTCCACCCTTTTCTAACCTGGCCCCGAGAAAGTAAAAAAGCAAATAGAGCCATCTCCATGTTGTGAACAGAACTGATTTATTGCTAATTACATCTTAGCTGTTTTACAAACATCAGACAGATGAAACAGAGAAATTCTGGGACAGGTCCCAATAAGCTCATTTACAATTGGACTAACAGCTACATTAAACAACTCTGTACTAAAGCTATCAATGGTTTCCCTCATTTTGGGAATCTTCCTTCTCTTCCTGAAATTAAAGACACTTGCGGCTAACCCCATCTCTGTCACCTTTTGTAGGCTGGTCTTTCAGGGCAGACACTCAAATTTCTCTTTACTGGACAATCTGAAGTGCTCATGTTCCAGGAGTGTTGAATTCTCCCCTGAGATCCTAAATCCCCTGGTTTTCCATTTGCTCACCTGCTTTTCTCTGACAAGTCCTGTTCGCCTTCCCTCTTCCTTTTGTCTCATTTCACCTCTTCTCCTCATGTACATTCTCCTCCTCTCTTTGTTGTCTCTTTTGTTATTTTTCTGCCATCACGTATATGTTTTCTTCTTCTATTGACTGTCCCACACTCCCATCTCATCCTCATCTGGCTCAGAACTCTTCTTTTTTCCCTCCTCTCTCTGGGCTGTATCCTTCTGCTTCTTTCTACTTTCTTCCTAAGACCTCTCTTTCCTTAAAGGGGGCTTGTAATTGTAAACTGGATGGATGGATGGATGGATGGATGGATGGATGGATGGATGGATGGAT